AAAATTAATGTAAATAGCATCGTCGAAGGTTATCCTAATATAAATACGAACAGAGATAATGCAATGGTCGAGCACTGATTTTATCTATTAAGATAACCTTCGAAGTATGACTTACATAACCTACAGACAAGGGTATTTTACTGCGTAATATCTTTCAAGTAGGACTGCAGAAGGAAGTATTATAATAATTATTCGTTTATTAATAAAACTATTGACGTTTAAATTTGATTATATATTAGATAATTAATGTTACTAGTATTTTGTTATATCTATATTAGATAAAAGATAGGTTAAATTTATTAGTCAGTATATCAAATCATCAGGAAGTAATACCTGCACTGAAAAAGATATGATTGATATGCAACAATATGTAAACGTTGTATTTACAGTAATATTACATTTAACTGCATTGAAGTACCTTTTATGTAATTGAACATTTAAGAGATTAAGTGAAATCATAAAGTTTTACGTCGAACTGCTAGATTCTTCTGTACATGTCGTCAGTAGCATCTAATACACACGAGATTCGAGTTTCAAACATTTACACGGTCTTTCAATCGCTTTCTACGCCATTAGGCATCTTGTGTGAAACGTTGCGGTTTTCGTTGCTATTGGCCAATCAGAAGACTCGTTACAAAATATCGAACAGCTGATTGACAATGGCGTAGAAAGTAATCTAAAGACCGTGGAAAGGTTTGAAATTCGAATTTTGCGTGTATCAGATGCTACTGACGGTTGTGAGTGGTCCAACTTAATGTATTTAGTAATATTATTTAGTAAATTCAAGTAATTTTGACCCGTAGTCAGCTGACATACATGTATTAGTCTATGTTTACGTACCGAATTGTTGTGCCGCAATTATGTCTACCAAGGATTTTTAGCACGAAGTCGCTCCTGATAGATATTTCATGAACGGGAAGGGCTAGAGACTTGGGGTTGGTCTCATTTTGAAGCTTTATATAAACGTGAAATAGTGATAAAAGTTTTTTTTAATTGTCTGGCCAATTGTTTTCACAACGGCCCGGGAAATGAATCCCTTGCTCGTAGGCTCGAATCTGGAGTTTCCGGCCTTCTCTTAACTTATAGTATATTTTTAAAGGGGGTCATTATATACATTTTTTTTTTGTTTTTTTTGACACTTTTAAGATGAACACAGGTTTTTTTTTTATCAATCTGGTCATATTTTTCCTTCCCATGTCCGATACTTTTGCCTGTGGGTTAGACCGATTCATTAAAACTATGTTGTATAAAATGCACTGTAAGGATAATTCATGAAACTATTTTTAGTCAGACCCTTAAAATTGTTTGTAATAAAGGGAAAACGCAATTCTGTTTCTGACGTTTGAAGAGTTTTCCTTAAAACCCTTTCAATATAACATATTTACTATCTTAATGAACTGGTTAAAGGTTTACCTAAACGCCCATATATAAAATATAAGAAAACATATTACATGATAAGGAACAGTTTAAAATGTGTAACATTAATATAGAAATAATGATGTTATGAAATTTGAAACTAATCTTTTACTAGAAGAGTATTCTTTTAGGATGGTAAATCTGGACAATATTTCTAAGCTGGTTAAAATGTTTATGTTAACTTTTACTCATTTTTGTTGTAAAACAATTGAGTCATTAACAGTCCAGGACATTGGCACAGCTCAGTTATTTTTAGATTATGAGCATGCCTCATTCCAAATTTGGAAAGGTCGCGCAGACAAAGGTCGCGCGACACTTAAGGTCGCGCAATAGGAAAGGTCGCGCAGAATCAGCTTTCCAGGCATGCTAGTTCCAAAATATGGAGAGGTCGCGCAATAGAGGTCGCGCAGTCTAAAAGTACAAGGTTTAAGTTATTTTTAGCCCTTCAGCATCTCAATTGTTGTTAACAAAGCATAATTTGGTCATATCAGATTTTATGAATTGGATTCCTTACTCACAGCTTTATCTATGTACAGGTTACTTGGTTCAAATGTTGAGCTGTATGTTGTAAAGCTGGAGAGATTATATTTCTGTTGTTTAATGAATTATCAGTCAGTATTATAAGTTTATAGAAATGTCAATCAGTAGTAAGTGTATTGGTCTTATAAGCCATAAATAGAACATATATCTTTATTAATACAAGTGTATTTTGCACTATTACATGTATTAAGTTGCATTATTGGACAGATAATAGTTGTTAACATGTAAATTTATATAACTATTATGTATTTTTGTACTTCTGTTTGTATTGTACAACAGTCTGTATACCTGAACCAGTTGCAGGCCATTTTGAACATTGTTAAGGCATTGTCAGCATTTTTAAAAGGTCGCGCAACATTCAGGTCGCGCAATGAGTTGTGTGCAAAACTGGTTAGCGCAAGTAGGTCGCGCAACAATCTACTTTTGCACACCACCCTAGCTGCGCAAACAGAAGGGTATATAAGCTGGGAACTTTTCTAGCTGGGTTAGTTCTGGGGTTTTTGAGGAGTTTTGGAGTGAGTTGGAGTTGGTTGAGTTGAGTTAGTTAGTAATTGAAGAAATGTATTTGTTGAAGTTGTTAAGAATTTTACTTTGGTTTTGACTGTTGATAAAAAATAAAATGATGCATTATTTTGATTTACTGCAATAAATATAATCCTGCTTTCACTTGGACTTGACTTGTTCATTGTACCAGCATAGAGAAATGGTTGGTTGACTTTTAAGCGAAAAAAGTGAATAAACAAAGCTTTTCACAAAAAATGGAAAGTTTTCTTAACAATGACACTAAATCCGGTTTAGTATTTAATTTTGTTTAAAAGACTGACGAGTCAATCGTCACCATATCATTAACAACTAAAATACTTAGCTCTAAAAAATACTTCAACATACACATTCCTTTTATCTAGAAATGTGAGTGCTTACAAATCAAATATTGTATAGATGACTAGTTAAAGCAACGGTAACGTTTCACATAATGGAAGAAACTGTTAAAGAAAACACAACAGTTCTTATGTTGTTTCTTATGTTAAAATAGTTTATGTAAAAAAATATTCTATTAAATATTGCATTGATTTTGGTCATATATTAGTGAACCATGAACTGTTAACCGTATGTTTTATTTTGTTATAAATATTATTTGCGAGAAAACAATAACGGAAAAAATAACCAATAAACTAGCGAATGTGAAAAAAAATTCACATTAGCCTTTACAATAATTAATACTTAACACTAGGAATTGTTTCAGGCACCCATTATTGTCAACAGATATTAGGACCCTGACCCCTTTTTTTGTAAGTGACCTATATAGAATATTATTATCCTAATAAATGGTTTATCAAAAGATATAGAGTTTGTAAATGAGCCATAATTGTTGTCTGATTAGGTTTCTGACAAGGTATAGGAAGATTTACAGTAACTAGAATTCAAGTTAAAACGAAATTATTCAAAATTCTATTATATGTTTCATTAACACCTGAATGACTTGTAGTTGGCGTTTCAATAATTTTGCGACCAGCTATCCACTCATGAGGTCGCCAACTCATTTGAATCCCACACTTATTATTAATTATAAACTGGAACATGAAAAGTCGTATAATAACTTAAGTCTTTTGTAAAAGGTATGGAATACTGGATATTTTTGCTCCATGTTAAGTTGTGACCTTTAAGTCATTTACGACATTGTTCCCTTGATCAAGAAGGATGGAGAAAAGTCAGATATTGGTACATCTGACCTGACTATTTCTGACAGATTGGAGTTAAGAGATCTTTTTCTCTTAGCATTAAAACACTAACATACTAAGGTATCAGCTAAATCTATATCTGAAGAGCTATCTTACTCAATAGCTTTCTTGGGAATTTCTTTGTTGTATATAGTCGCATGTCTTGTCCACAATTGGTGTATCAGTTAGAAGAACATTTACAACAATTTACCTTCAGCTAAGTTATAAGCTAGCATTAAACAAAGACCTGTTCAGTGTAGGAAAGCATCGCTATCAAAATCTAAGTTTTCAGTTACCATATCACAGAACAAATAATTACAATGTGAGGACATTAATTAATTCACTCTCTGTACCCTGAATAAGAACACTTGAAGATGTTTTCTCATAAACAGGCCACAATGAGAGATTTAGAAGATTCTGTATCCATTTTTAACAGAGATAGGTAGGTAAGTATTACCGTCCATGAACAGGCTTAGTCAAACAGAGCCTGCAACATTTCAATTTTGCTGTGTTGGCTTTCTTTAGGGATTCTTATTTTCTCTTTTTTACCTATAATTGATACATCCGAAAGAAATTGTTCATAAATCCCCATTACAGAATAATATTTACGTTTTCTGACCATGGAAATTGTATAACTTTGATTTACATTCTGGAGTCGTAAGACGAATGGGTTTGGCATCATCACCCTCTGGACTTTTCCTTTTGAAAGTTAAGGGTTGTGGAATTATGTGTCTCGGTGTCTTACATTAACGAGAAGATGAAGTTAGGTTCATCAGATGACTTTGTTTTTGAAGTATCTGTTTGTTTGATTTGGAAATAACTGGTTAATTAAGAAGAAACTGTTTAATTTAGAAGTAACTGTGTGACATGATGAACAAGGTGTATCACCTAAATTGCATTTGGAACAAAAGTGTGAGGAAGTGGGTTTCCTTATGTTTATAAATTAGAATTTCCTAGTAAAAGAATAATCATCGGCTAAACGAGCAGCATCATATAAAGTTTCTGTTTGTTTTCATCTAAATAAGTTTTGATCTCAGACGGACATAAACATTTAAAATCTTAAAATAGCATGTCTCGCATTTTCATGACTGTTATTAATTGTCTTACATAATAAGGATCAACTAAATGTAAAAAACAGTAATTATACGACTGTTAGCATATTGAAATTCTGCGATATTTGATTTGACAGATCTAATGCTTAAATAAACTTTCTACCAATCCTAATTTGTGAGTTTGTATTCTGATGTGAGAACCATGTATTAAAGGAGTTAGATCTTCCATGTGGTAGAGTAGAAGAAAGTTGGAAAAACAAATGTGAACAATGCATAAATTATTTCTTTTTTGTCTGTTTATTTGTTGATATTTCTTTACTATAGGGAGTACAAACTGAAGAACATAGACCCAGCTATAATACACTGGACAAGATTTAAACAATTCTACAAATATACATAATGTATTTACAACATATTTAAATCAAAATAAAGTTTCAATTGATTAATTAATTAATTAATTAATTGTTTAATTAATTAAAATATTTAAATCACACCAAATTTTAATTAATCAATTATTCAAAGAAGGAGTATTAAAAGTGAAGATCAAAACCATCAGTCCACAATGAACTCACGTGCAAGTTGTAGTTATCAGACTGAATATTTGAAATAAACTGTATTTTAAAAAGGTGCATTAAAAAAATTTTTAGTCCAGGGCTGTTGTATCATTATTTGAAGTGAAATTTATATCCATATTAAAAATTTCTGTGTATTTTTCTTTTTTATGGGGGCTTGACGGGAAACTCAGTCAGCCCATTATTAACAGCTTGCCTATTATATGTATCTTTATTCATATTGATGGGCTGTGCCCTCACCACGGCGTGCACGTGTTTCCCAGGGTGAGGATTTTGTTATATCGGATATACTCCAAAATAATTGTCTCGTGTGAAAAAATGCTACATGAGTATAAGGTATCGGGACTCTTAGTATTATGTGCGCTCACCACGACGTGCACGTGGCCCCGACAGCGATGAGGTCATATCAGATTTACACCAAAGTAATTGTCCCTTGTGTATCTTATGTATGTAATGTTGCTAACTTTAACGGAAAGTTCATCACCAGCTTTTAGTTCTACGAGTGATGAAACATAGCTATTATATGAATTGTAGTATCGGTTGGTAGAGATAGTATGTGGTTGTACATTTGTTACTAATTCGTTTTCCTCACCTTCAAGAATATTAAATTTAAAAATACCGTGCTTAATTGGTTTATTGATATCCTTGACATCTGGTAAGCCAGATGAAGGATTGCAGGACTCGAAAATGTCAAGATTAGAGTAAATAAAATATGTGCCATCCACTGGAACAACTAGTCGACCATTTCTGTATCTTATTCCATATCTTATAAAGCCTTTTGTATCATACAGTTCTCTTCCGTTACACCACTGTCTTATAGGTACCATATCAGCAGTACTGTCAGCTGTAAAATAAAGGTAATATCATTTACGAATGAAATATCTTCTACATTAATTATCGTCGATATTTGGTTGTGTTAAACTGTTTCAAGGTGTTCTTATAGCAAAAATTTAAATACGGAAGGAAGAAATAGAAAACGAAAAACAAGCATACTTTTTCGCAAATTCGATTGCTCCTTTCCAGTGAGTTTTGCGGCTGGTTTCATTTCCCAGAAACTTTTGTCATATATATTCATTAAGCGGGCTCTATTTCCATCAAGATAGTTTTTTTGTTTCTCTGCATCTTCTCTTTTTACTTTTTCATATTGATTGTTTATTTTCTGTAGAAAAAAGGCGAAACCTTTAACTAGTAGCTAGTAACAAAAACACATGCACCTATGTATTACATAGATTTATTTAGTTTACACTTAGTGCAGATCAATTATTCTTTGTGAAATATAGACAGCGAAAACCCTTTTGACCTTTGTGCAGCTAATAGTATGCAGTTCCTTAACATATTGAATGGCAGCAACCTTTTAAATAATTTCATACATATTATAGTCACGAACTGGATAACAACAATCGGTGTAATTACTACATGCATTCTTAATGCTCTTTGCAAAATGTTAACAGTTGGGTTGCTGTTAAAATTCGTGTGTTTAATCTTGTCTGAAATCTCATATTCATTTTTAACCCAAGGTAGTTTTAAATAAATCTATTCGTTGTTTCACTATGTCAACTGTTAAACTATTATTAAAACTTCAAGCAATACTTGTATTGGAAACATATCAATTTCATGCTTAGATAAATGTTCACTTCTTCATTTTATATTGTGTTACTGTGTTCATTTACTTTTCTTTTGTTATATCTAGATCACACCGTTTATACAAAATTTGACCGACATGATTGTATTATATGATAATCTGGTTTTGCAAAACTATTTCCAAATTGGTGACACAAACGTTTGAAATAGTAAAATTAACTGTTTATAGTGTGTACTTACGGCACTTACTTCGTGTACAACGATTTAAAATAAACCCCGTTGTACACATTGTACAATTTAATACTAACCCTTTGATTCAAACTATGAAAGTAAACAAATAAAAAACTACTTTTAAAACAATAGATGATCTGTTTTCAAAAATGTCGATTCGATCAGGTGACCTAATTATTAAATAAGATACTATTTTGAAGACTTTAACATACTGCTGACTTATTTGTACTACATTGTAATTGAAAAAAAATAAAATTTAACTATTGAACTTATAAAACATTTATCTCGAATAATTTCATATTTAATTCAATGTAAAAGTTTTCGTCTTTAATGAACTTTAAAAATTAGTTTAAACTTACCCTTTCGAGATAATCATGTAATAAGTCAGTGGTTGAACCACATTTAAGCGGACCAGTTTCACTAGGCAAACATATTTCATCTTTTTTAACTGTCTTAGGTAAATCAGGCATTGTCCACACTAAAGCCAAAACTATTATTAGACAGACAACAACACATAGCAAAACAATCATCGAAACTTTCTTTAGTATCGTATCCATTTTTTGTTTTGTGAATGTGAATGTATTTTGCTAACGTTTCTAACGACAGATAAAGGCAAACTGACGACAACATAATTATATTATTCAAATTTACTTCACTGTCCCGAAAGCTGTACTACCATAAATCTATATAAGTATACACGCGGGTAAGAAGCTCAGCTTATAACTTATTACCTATCTTGTAAAACCGTTCGTTGAAAATGTTAACTTGATAATTGAAGGACGTATTGTTCCTTTCTACATCGGAATAATTGCAGTTTCAATGCTTGCATTCTAGTTTTATCATTACTTCTTAAGTATTAAACAAAGACTGACCACGTCAATTTTTTTCAAACATTTGCCGTCGGCGAATAACTGGGGCGACTTCGTTATATGAATGATTTCGAATAAATAACGTTCGAGGGTAGTGTAAAATGTACACTTCAGTGGAACTCACTATCGAACCAAGCATAATACACCCGGACAATGTTTTGACGCGTCCCTAGCTCGCGATGGTGAACTGACGTAACCTTGGACAAACTGTGACAATAACAGTAGCCCCGATTCGGGTAGGTTTTTAATAAATCTATTTTTAGATACCGGAACGTGTGTTGTTGTTTTTTTTCTTTTCTATGATAAAATGCATAATTAACTCCTTTCCGGTATTGTAGATAGTATGGCTGTTTTCCAAAAATATTTAGTCATAGTGTTTCAAATTATCCTTGGACAAATCGGTGTGACTCAATACAAAGCCGGTAACATTCAGTTTCAAACGGAACTTCTCAGCTATTACTAATAATTACTTTGGACTTAAAACGGATTGAAAGTAGTTCTACCACGCGGCTTTAGATGTAAACAAAACAGAGAGTGCAATCGTTGATAATGATTGAATAACGAACGTAGTTAGACAATAAAGTTTCTTTCGGTACAGTTATGATTAAAAATATGTGTGACAATCATAATGAATTCCCACAATTGTAAACAAATCCGAATAAATGTAAACAGGTAGTCGTTTTGTACGTACTTTCGGTTTCTACAACCATGGTAATAAGTATATAAATAATGTAAACCTATGAATTTACTTAATTTAGATGGACCTTTACTCGATATATTCGAATTAATTTATTCAAAAACCCCTAGCATTAAATTACTATTTGTTTACATGATTAGTTTATTAGAGTAGGTTAGACCAAATTAAGTACCGTATCCGTTCCGTGTATTCTTACTATTGTGTTTGAGTTTCTTATCCGAAGGTTGACGAAAAGGGCAAAGAAAATGCGATTGAGTCAGTTTATGCATTTTTAACTTATAAAATCGTGCGCGAAAAGCAAAGTTGTTTATTAGTTACTTTTACGTATTATTTTTGTGCTTAAAAATAACTCTAGTAAATCATGTTGATTAATAGCAAATATTTCCGCTCATGTGAAACTTTTTAATCGCGACTTCTTCGACAATCCATGATGGATTTCTTCGAAACAGACTGTTTGTTCTAACAAATGCATGTAGAAAAATATTAAAATAACCCCAGAATCACCAGGAAGACCCGTTGACTATTTCGGTATAAGGTGTGAATATGTATGATGTGTGTTGTATCATCTTAAAGTGTGTAATATAGGAAGATATATTTTCGGTTTTTTAAAAAGTTGAAAGCATGATATGTTTTAAGGAAATTAATCCAGCTGGTAGGGTTCTAGTGCCCCGAATTCTTATGCAACAAGCAATAATTTATCATTGAGAAAGCAGAATTACAGAAAGCCTTTGTAGCTCCGGTGTTATAAATGAGAAAACATTATCAACAATGATGCTTTTAATTAAAAGAAACACATTTCTTTACTATAACGTGTATAAAGAGGATAATCAGCATGTTGTTCACACACCCAATATCATCGATTCATTTTTTTCTCGGGAATTATCCATAAAGTATTGGAGGGGTCACCTTGAAACTTCATAATTGTATATAACTGATTAAAAGAAGTGCATTTCTTAAGACTCATGTCTGTCTTTAATTGTGTTATTGCCATTTGTTAATTTTAATAATTATTATCATCATCACCAGCATTATTGTTTATTATTATTATTCCCTGCGGGCCGGAGCCCGCAGGGTATTGGTACGCGTTTAATTTTTGAGGCATGGAGGAGCACGTGACCTGTTTTCGGTACATGGAGGAGCATGTGATCTGTAAACCGTACATGATTGGTTAATTGACCTATTCGAAAACCTAGCTAAATACCGTTTCCCGGTACGTTACGGATTTACCTGTAGGGAATCATTGTATACACACCGGTCTCTCGACACAATGCTAGGGAATTAGTCCGAATTACACCTAATTAAGAACATAACACTATTACGTGATATGTCTAATTTTCTATTATTATTTTACCGTTTAAGTTGGAAAAACTTGCATGATGTGTTATCAATGTTTCTTTAATATCTATCTGAAATTTTACAAACAATAAATTGTTTATAGTGAAAATCCACAGAATTAAAACATTCGTTTGTGGCATCTGCCATAATAGATAGAGATATTTTCTGCGTAAACTTGTGTGTTTACTTTATGTTTTATTTTTTGCACGGAATTATTCATACAATGCTATTTAATCATTTTCTTAAACAGAAATATTGTTTTATTTTCGACAAAGACCTTCTTCTATTGATCGATTATTGTCAACTATATTCCTGATACAAACGTTATTTTTTTCTATTTTTTCCCCAAACAATGTTGAAAATAGTTAAATGAAATATCTTTAAATCATTATAAATGTTCCCCGCAGGAAACCATTTTACTTGTCATTATTTCAATTGTCTTTTTTGCCTACATACTATTATAAAGGTAGTTTGTCGTTTTTGTATGTACAGTATTCAATGTAGTGATAGTGATATGTCAGGGTTTAAAAGGGGAATTTCCCGTCTTATTTTCAAAAACATATTTTCTGTCGGTTTGCAGTATTCATTACGAGGTAGTTTTCGGATAATCATTAAATGTACCTGATTATCTTTAAACCGACTATATTTATACACTCACGTATTCAGTAGCAAACGCGTGCAAAAAATACTTTGTTGCATTGGATCATTTTCGCTCGTATTATGTTTTATCATGGACCGAATGACGTAATTTAAGATAGATATTATGTTATCAGAAACAATGATCAGGTGATTTAACTCATATGATGAACGGGTGACACTACTTCCTTTTATTCAAAGATTCATTTATAGTTTTAATTTAGGATACTTAGTCAGTTAGTGTTTGAAATTATTTTTTGTCCAATAGGATTGCAGTATTTCAAATGAATCGTAACACATTAACTTGTCCATATAGCCGACTGGTAAACTGGCAAAACAATCTTGCCCATTAAAAATTGACTATATTTTTTCAAGTAATTTGTTAAAACTTACTTCAAACATATTTTTCTAACAAAAAAATCAACAATTGATTAACGTTCAGGTATAACGGTATTTTGATACTTCTTCAAATGCCTATGTAAAGAAAGCGAAACATACGATCGTCTTCAGAAATAAGTAGATCTGAACTTTAGTCAGATTGCTAGTTCACTGCGCCGCGCCTAACCAATTTAATTTTGTAAATAGTACTAATAAACTTTAACCTATACATAATTAAAGAACGTTTATTAAAGTATCCTTTTATTTATTATACTAGCCATTCACTAATAAAAAACCGATATTATTGGCATCTAACTCTTAGTCATTATGTATTGCTGTAAAAGTATTAAAATGAAAGCCGATTTAAAATGAATATGGTGAAATCTAACCCATTTATCATCTATGTACACACACTTTATTCAATTTTTGGAAATGAATTATTTCTTAATTTAAAATATTCACAATTGGCGTTTTTAAATGTTATGAATTTTTACTTTATGCGCTTCAAAAGTACCCTGAATAAGTATGACATCAACGGAAGAAAAACTATCAAGTATCTAAGGTTATTGAAAGCCAATGACTCTATCGAATCATTAAACAAACTATAATAACCAAGGCGTCTAACGTCGCAATTACAATATAACTGCGTCACATATTTTACACTTTGGCAAGATACCAAACATAGAAACATGAACATAATATATTATCTGCTAAGGAGTATTTAATTTATATTAGATATAATATGTATTTTTAGTAACACGTTTGGACAGTAAGAGAAGAATGTTATACATGTTATACATGTAGCAGTAAGCATTTGTAAGCAGTAAGCTTTCTTGTCGAATGAATGCTATATGGAATATTGTGAATTGCAACATGCCTAGTTCATAGTTCTGGTTTTATCTGGTTTTTTTCGGCAATGTTATTGTAATGACAATTATATTTTATTACGATTCATACTATATCAAATAGTAAGTTTGTACAGTTCCGAAGTCCAATTGTCTTACAATATTCAGTTTTGCTATAACTGGTATTAGTAAGACAGAAGTACATTTATACCCTGAAAATTTAACAGTACAGAAATTTGTGTTAGCAACGAAAAGAAAGACTATTTTCATGCTAAATGATTTCATGAAAATAAAGATTCACAAAGATTAATTTTTGCATTTTCGTTTTTATCAGAGCTTACCCAATGGTAATCTTTAAATTTAAAATTAAATTAAGTTTATATACATAATCAAATCCTGAACTGTTGCAACATCTTTTTTGTTTTTTTGGAATTGATACAATCTATATATTTTGACGAAAGAAAGATGTCATCTGTTTTTCAAACTAAACAAAAAGAAAGAGATTGGCTTATTTCCGATTCAAAACTCCATTAAACAGCATCGTCAGGAAAATAACTTCGCATTCTTATCTCAAATTGCAAATGTTTCATTTTACAAATGATAAATTTTCTAAAATTAAATATTCTAGTCATATTTGGGCGTTTAGCTTTGAGAGAACGGGATAAGGAATTGTCTAAGCATTAGGGTAATGGGTCATATAGAGTTCCCATTTCTATGAATGTCTAACGATTCATCTGAGAAAGCCTGCTTGTTTTGCCGTTTCGAACTATTCTTTAAATACTGAATATGCAATACAAGTATACGTAATACTTATTAATATTCAATTCTTTAAAAACATAGAATTAATTTTATAATTGTTA